CTACGCACTCTGCACAGCAGGTTGACAATTAATTATAAATTTTTGTAAACTAACTTTCAAAAAAGAAAGAAAGATATTTTATTTCTACCGAGACTTCCATTTTACTAATTGGTCAACTTGATCCGAAACTCGGACCATCCCATTGAGAGTCGGTAGGGTAAGAGGCACTTCCTAGCTGTGGATGTAAAAGCATCGGAGCGTCATTGATTGGCTCGGATGAGCATGTTGCCCCTCAAGAAGAACGAATAAGCAGAGGAGTTGACGACAAGAACGACATCTACCTCTTTCGTAATTTCTAAGGGCGACTGGATTTAGTTGGTGGGATGGAATATTATACCTAGATCCTGCTGTTACCACAACCCTAGAAGTCTTGTAAGGAAGATGACTTAAGACCCATATTGCTACAACTGGACTCGGTAAGCCCGCTGAACGAGACTTGGACATATAACCATCATTCCTCCTTTGTGATGAATCGCGGCAAGGGCGTATGGCTGCTGCGGTAGCGAATACAGAGTGCCTATGCTGAAGCGCATCCACACGGCATCAGCTATGTTGCCATCCCGTTGCATAATACGTCGCGTGTGTCCTCTTCTCAAGGTCGAGCATTTATTTTGTAGTTGTTTGTTGGGAATTTTTTTTTGGCAACCACCGTCATGGGACGGTCGCCGATAGAGAATTGCCGTAGGGCCTCAGGCGCAGGCGTCGCTGCACGCGATACTAAGTAGATGAGCTTTTCTGCTGTTAGTGCTGAATTTGATATCTTCACATTTCGTGTGCATCTGTGTTCGTCGATCACTAGTGAATAGTCGCAGTTTAATTAGATCCACGCCCATGGTGATTCAACACCGTTGTGTACAGTCAAAATTGGGTACCAGTAGACTTCTCAATTTTCACCTTATGATCCCCACGAAAATGACCTCTGGCAATACATATATCAGCAGTGAATCTCTGAAGCAAATAGAACAACTTAAAAGCATGACTGGGCCAACGTCGACGTCGTATCTGAAGTGGCTTAGCCTATCACGATGTGGTTCAGAGGACGTAGAACCGGAGCAGACACAACATGTCCGACCACTTACGGTACAGAGTAGTGCGCATGATACTAGGGTACACTATGCTGATCGGCTAGATGTAGATATGTCAACGATATTCCCGAGTCACGGGGCATGGATCGATGATTGGCACGCCACAAATCCAAGGAGATTCCTTATGGACGATTCCATGCTGGGGAAAACAAGTCCGTTCCTCGGGTCGTTTATACGGTCATAAACCATAAGCTGGATGAGTCACCCCAACCAGCTTTCGATAACGGCGCCAAATACTGGTTGTTGGTAAGAAAGGAAGTTTTATGGACGCCATTTGGCGCGGTGAAGCCTGTGAAGCCATGGAGAGGATCTGTCTGACATAAAATGCGCTATTTGGCGGCTCTAAGGGGCCTTCGGGCCATTGGTCCAACCGAATCATCTCTTTCGTAGCTCCGAGGATATCTCTAGGGCGATGGCTGAGGTCAGCGTCATTCAGATTTCTTTCGATGAAGCTGAACTAGAGACACCTTGTGTCATCATGGCGATGGAACTGCGACGAGTCGGTATATATGTCGACGTGCCTCCATGGCATTACACCTACCCGATAACAAGGTCAATTCGGGTCTCATGCATGGTTGCCGCAGGGAACAGCTCTTGAGTCTTCACATTTTGCGTGTCCACCATGACACCATTGATAGAAGCGTGCGCCGGGACAGCTAAGAAATTCAATGCAAAAAAGACGAAAGACAATAGGACTGTAGCCACAAACAGTTCCCACAGACGAGGAGTAGTTGATCGGTCTGCATGAAGCAGTCTTCTTTCGGAAGAGCTCTCAGCAGCAAGAGGTCGGGTAAATGGAATTGAGATACAAGTTTTTGCATTCAACAGACCTCAACTACTTCCATCTATTTGCTGCGTGCGTTACGGGTCTTTTGAGAAGGTTGTGTATGGCAGAGACATGAAAGCCATATGACTTGTACCAAAGAAATGGAGACATCTTATGCCATGTTAGTCGGATATTGGACGTAGGACCACAAAGAAAGCAATATATTCTAGTAAAAAGCACTGTATATCGCAATCGACCACAGGACATGGAATACAGGGCTTCCCGTTCGCTCAGCCGTACTTAAGCCATGTGCCGGCCGGTTAGTAGTTGGGTGGGTGACCACCAGCGAATACCGGCTGTTGATTGTTTTTGTTTTTTTTGTGCCCCAGTTTGGGGTAGGCACTGTACTACGGTAGGAGGCATAAATAATGTTAGTTGACCTAGTAATTTTGTCATTTAACACGTCTCTTACAGATACCCCTGCTGCACTTGTACGAATTCAACACGTTCAACACGATCAACACATTCAACGGTTCAGCCTCTTTTACTATTATTCTATCTCTTTCTACATGATTCGCCAAATTTTGATATATTTTTATGGATTCTATAGACTTTATCATGCTATCTCCTTCTAGAGCTACTCGAATCAATGCTAGCAAGGTGCCAGGCAGTCATTGATGTTAATGGAATGCACACTTGATTCTGAGCGGAATAGACTAGTCCTAATCAGGCGAATGTGTGGAGTTTTATCTTGGCATTTACAAGTTGCTACTAGGGCGAACTAACGTTATTTATGCCTCCTACCGTAGTAAGTAGCTAGTTTATCATCAGGTTGAGACAAACCCCGAGACTCGATCCGAGACCCGATCCGAGCCCTGACCTTGGAAGAGGTGGGAGGAGGTTGCAAAAGGGGTGGCGCCCCTGCGGGGCCAACCTGGGGTAAGAAGGCAGGCTGAACCCACCTGTGTTTTCGATCTCTATCAAAAAGTGGTGATGTCTACTACGTGTAGTAAGACCAACACCCCTGCTTTGTTTAATTGTTTTTTACCTGACTGACTCATGAGGATCGACGAGTTTCGCCTCACTGTGACTGTTGACCCCTCAAGCTCTAAAATCATCCTTATTGGTGTTCTGAGCTACAGAGATCTACCACCAATGCAAGTGGCCCAATTATTACCCTGCCCCGATCCTCTCGTCTAATTTCCCGTCCGTGTGGCACTACGTAGTACGTAGTACATCAGCACATCATTGCACCACTACCGCACTGGCCTCATTCCACATTACTGTGAACTGGTGCTGCAATGGAAATTGCAAAACTGAAAAGTGTCACTGCAGAGGCTGAAACAACAATAGCAAGCTGAAATGGTGGCTGCTGCTTACTCCTGAGGTGCTAGATGGGCATTGGTGTACCAGAATCTTTCGTCACAATAATTGGAACTATCCCACAAAAGTTTCTACCATCAAATGTAGTTACCGTAGTAGACAGGATCACATATGGAAAACTGACGATTGGATTTCGTAACCAATGGTAACCATCTTAACCGCCAGCCACCGTTGTCAACGTAATCATGATGGCGGCTTTAGCGGTTCCTGGCCCTTCTCCGCACCAGCTGTTTCCCTTTTTTGACCTAGTTCTGCCGTACTAGGAGAGGTGATAGTCTTGGACAGCTGTGACTTAGTCTCGTTTGAAGGGATTAATGAGTAACTGGCAGCGTTTGGGAATCAGCAGTCACCCGCAATGTGAAAAGAAGTCGAGATGCATGACAGCAGATGGTCAGACAAAGGTCAGTTTGATCGCCCCTCACTCCTCCCACTACCTACACCTCGTCCTTTCACGCTTGGACCACTTAAAGGAGGCACCTCCTATTTGGGGTGTGGGCTATTTCCCTGCCTCCCCCAGCCATTAATTAATGCAAACTATTAAATCTGCTTTAGAGTCTTCACTATTGTTCTTCTTCCCTACTAGAATTGCCATCACCTCTATTCTCAGCATTCGGGAACAGTCACATTCACTTGTCATAAGCCATTGTTGAGGTGCGCAGTGAAATGAGAAATCTCGAGCAGTTCCTAAGTACTAACATCTTGATCCAGAGACTCTTTTCCTACACCCAACAACAATCAATCACACACACACAAGATGAAGATCTCAGTCGTTGCATTCTCTCTTCTCTCAGCTGTAGCTCTCGCTCAGACCACTGGCCAGCTAGGCGATGCTGCAGTCGTCAACAACAACCCCGCTGGCGTCTCCTACCAAGCCGTCCTCCCAGAGCGAGCCAACACCAACATCCGCGGCTACATCACGGGAACCTCAAATGCAAACGGTACTGGTGTACAATGGAACTTGAATATCTACGGCCTCCCAGACGCGTCTCTTGGTCCATTCTGTAAGTCACATTCCATCCTTTAACCCTTTCTCCTATCAACATCATTTCTGACCCTTTTGTCTTCTTCAGTGTACCACATCCACGACCAACCCGTCCCCGCCAACGGGAACTGCACCGCCACTCTCGCCCACCTCGATCCCTACATCCGCGGTGAAAGACCTCCCTGCGACCGTAGCAGACCCCAAACCTGCCAAGTTGGCGACCTCTCAGGCAAATACGGCGACATCCCCGCTACCGGTACCTACCAGACCTCGTACCTCGACCTCTTCACCTCCACCCGGCAAGGACCCGCCAGCTTCTTTGGCAACCGATCTGTCGTCATCCACACCGCGAACACCACGAGATTGACCTGCGCCAACTTCCAGCTTGTGTCCTCTGGCAGCAATGCGACGACAAGTTCCACGGGCGGTGGTGCTGTGGGCAGTCCGACGGTGACGAGCCCGCCGATCGCTACCTACACGGGTGCGGCAGCGCAGAAGTTGGTCAGCGGTGCGGCGGTGGTGGCCGGGCTGCTTGCTTTTGCTTTGTAAATATCTACAACCGTTTCACTTTTCATCTCATGGCATCAAGGAAGAAAGCAAGCGAAAGTGTGAGGTGTGCTGGTGGTTGCGGAAAGTGGTAATAATCCTGAGCCATGGTCGTTTGGGGCAAACAGCGGGGGCGCATCGGTACAGATCGAGGATTCAGCTTCGACTGATTTAGCTAATTCAACAATATCGGGTGGGCTACACCAATGCCGCCCTGGGGACTGTCATGGTCGCTTCAACCTACCTTCTTTTTCTAGAATAACTCAACCCTTTTCCCTCGTGCGGCTCTATTTCTCATACACTCTCTTACGCTTCCAACTAGTTGTATGGGCCGTTGCAAGGATGAGCAGGAGGCCTGGTTATACAGTATTCACGGTCCTCTCTGCTTCCTTTACCGTTGTACAGCAGCGCTTCACTTCTAGCCGACACCATGTCTTTCTAGCTTATGCTCTCATACCTGTCTTACGTTCGCAAAAAGAGCTTCTTGATTTTGCCGAGCCGATTCGATGCCATGGATGGCCTATCGTTTCCCTCTCTTCATCTCTCCTATCCTACCCTATCCTCTCTATCCGACGTGACCAGTATACCGACAGCATTGTGGCACCTGATCGAACAATCGGACTCTACGACCTTCTCGCTATTCAGCCTGTTCCACCATTCGGAAATCAGGGGAAAAAAGCAGACTCGCCCAATTCCACTCATCTTTCCAAAAACCCAATTTATTTCCCCTCTTCACCAGCACCAGCACTACCGGTGCCATAACCCACCCATATCCAAATAACCGCCACCACGACATCCAACCCTTTCCCCTGCGCCGCCTCATACTTGTAACTCCACATCCCATCCCGCGTGTTATCCCAGTATGCACCCGCTGCGGCGTGCATGCCTCTTCTGGGAGTGGATTGGGTTGGGGAAGAGGTAGTCGACGGTTGGGGGAGATGCTGGATTATGGTGCTGGTGATGCTGTATTTATATGGAGGTTGGGCCCCGTCCGCCGGGGTCGTGGCGGCAAGGAGGGAGGTGAGGGTGGAGGACTGTGAGTTTGGTCAATTAAATTGTACTAGAAATTTTGGGAGGTTGACCCGAAGCTGGGCGGAATCGCAGCCAGACGTTGGGGGAGACTGACGATGATTTCCGAGTTCCATGATTCGGCGCTGGAATGGTTGTAGGCTGTCACGCTGGCGAGGACAGTGTCGCATGCCTATTCCAATTGTTGGGTTCAATTGTCAGTTAGAAACTTCGTGTCTTCTCAGACGGGAACTGTGGCAGAGAGATTCTGAATTGGACCGTTCATGCAGGAAAATCTCTGCAAGGGCCGGTACGGACCTCATGGGCTATCTCTTTGAGTTTCAGGAACGGGACTGGCGGTTGTGATGTGGTTGTCTCAGTCGCCATGTCTCTCGCGCTCTCTATCCTGGGCGGGGTAAAGGGGATCTGAGTATTGGGCAAGTCGGATGCCAGGAATTGGGGGAGGAGGGAAGCGACTGGGGCCCCAGTTGGCGTTTATGGAACCGAGAAACCCTTTGAGTTGAACTATGTTATCTCCTACTAGCCGCAGCTAAGCGCTATAGCGTAGGTCGCTTCGGTCCAATCTGCTGCATGGTGAAGGAGAGATGCCCCCCAATCTTGTTCCTTGGGTTTGCTCTGTTTGTTTTGCGGGGTGGTGGTCTGTGCCTTCCCCCGGGGGTTACCCCAACGAATGAGAAGCTTGGATGATGCCACGGCTTGGTAGCTTCTCCAACAAATAATAATCCGGTTCGAGTGGGGAGATCTCGTCCTTAAACCTTCGATCCAATTGAGGCTTTCAGCAACTTGAAGCTGGTATATACCGCATCAATATTCTTCTGCTGTATCCCAAACTCTCCTGGTCAGAGAAGAGCTATTTCATACCATTCGCCCTTCATCCCAGTCGATTCTGACCCTAGCCTTTGAGAGTGACGATGCATTAAGCCAGAGATAATATCTGGGTTGCTGATGCGAGGGACGATATAAAGGACACACTTCTACCCTTACCAACCTTACGACGAACATTGGAATCAACCAAGTTGCATTTCGATCATCAATCTTCTCCATTATCAAGATGTCAAGCCAACCGCTCCTCCAGACCGCTCCAGGTTAGATGGCTCCCCTATTGTCCAGGCTAATCTTCCCATTCCCATTCCCATTCTGTTCATCATTCTCTCCCTATTCTCTACTCCCCAACTCACCATCCATGCATATAGGAAAGCGCATCGCGCTCCCCACCCGTGTTGAACCCAAAGTCTTCTTCGCCAATGAACGCACCTTCCTCTCCTGGCTCAACTTCACCGTGATCCTCGGCGGTCTTGCTGTCGGCCTCCTCAACTTCGGCGACGCCGTCGGTCGTATCTCCGCTGGTTTGTTTACGCTGGTGGCCATGGGCGCCATGATCTACGCGCTGGTGACCTTTCATTGGAGGGCCAAGAGTATCAGACAGAGGGGCCAGGGCGGGTTTGATGATCGGTACGGGCCCAGTGTGTTGGCAGTTGCGTTGCTAGGGGCGGTGATTGTCAACTTTGTGTTGAGAGTCACGAATGTTGGGAATACAAAGGAGAAGAGCTGAGGTGAGTTGGATGGTGCTGAGCATATAGTCAGGGATGCTAGTGCTCGTGTATGACTAGGACCTGGGTACCATTAGAGTCTTATCACTGGATTGCGGAAGGAGTCCATGAAGTATAAATTGGATTTTTCTGCCACCAGACATACCAAATTGAGTAGGCCAAAACTATGGAGGACCATATCTTCAGAAAGCAAAACTTAAGCTCCCTTTGGTGCAGCACATGGGTATCATCTGAGAACAAGCAACGCCCCCTCATGCTCACGTAACAGATCATCCTCCGTTATAGCCCTTTGAAGAATATGGGGAGCTCAACCATCGCTCGCCCCATTCAACCTTTGTTGCCAGCATAGGCATCTTCCCCTCGGAGAAGAGTTGATGAGTGCGATAAGTCTCGGAGCTGCTTCAACTGTGCTGATGCCAAAAAAGCTGCTTAGCGAGGTTCTGAGTAGTCATTCAACGCAACACACACAGCACCACGATGATGCCCGTTGTACTGTCGGATGATCTGTGCAGTTGAAAGCTCCCACAACCGTGCATAATGATCACTGCTGACGCTGACTAGGTATGCGGAGTCAGCAGAGAAAGCGCAGTCCCAAACCCAACGTTGATGACCAGCAAGCACCGTCTCACAGGGTAAAGGTCTCTCGCCAGGGAAGTCGGCGACCTCGCCGTTTGCGAGGGTGCTTGGAACAGAAGTTACTTCTCCTTTTGCTGTGCCGTTCGGAACAGGGTGGATGACCCTACCGAAGGACGTGGCGTTAGTGGACATTGGTTTCTTTCCAAATTCCAGCGCCAAGCCATTCAGGGTAGTGCTACTTTTTCCGTCGTTGTTGGGCATATCTTTTGGTGGTTCCTCGAGGTACTCTTCAGCAGGGTCGATTTTCCAAATCTTGACGCTGTGATCAGCTGAACATGTTGCTAGAGCTTTGACATCCGGAGATATAAGAAGGCGGGTAAGGTAGAGCCGATGAGCCTTGAATGATCGACACGGAAGAAGTGTGGTAGAGTCTTGGTTTTGGTACATGCGCCAGATGTAGACATTGCCCTGTAAAACAGATGAGCACTTTCGCCAAAAGACAGAACATGGGCTGCTCACGTTGTTGTTACCTGCAGCAAGAAGTGAACCATCACTAGCTACGCTGACACTGGATGCTGCCACGTCGTCTTCTGGAATGAGTTGATGCGTGCATCGGTTCTCACCAAGGTCCCACACTCGAATATTTCCACCTCGATCTGCGCTGATCAATTCGCCTTGGTTCGGATGAATGACGACATCGTTCACGGGATTCAAGTGCGTGTAGTTGCGCTGTTGTGTGCCTGATCTTGTGTCCCAGACCCTTACCGTGCAGTCTTCAGAACTTGTCACCATCCATTTCCCTTCACAATGAAACGCAACTCCTGTGATGTTGTTTGAGTGTCCTTCGAAGGTCATCACAGGATTCGGATTCGTAGAGGCGATGTCGTAAAGTCTGACGACATGGCGACCTGCTGCAGCAAGATATCGCTTGTTTGGAGTGATACATAGACGGTTGACCTGTGATTCAGGGTGCTGGATGGTTCGGCTGCAAATGCCCGACAATGCCTCCCAGAACCTGATTACCGGGTGAGCTAATCTCCAAGTATATACCTCGATGTATTCCGCGCTCACCGGATATTGTGGTCATAGCCAGCTGTTGCAGTCAGTCATCCGTACCTCAATGGTATCAAAATGGACTTACCTGTGCAGAGTATCACGCTCATCGGGTTGTCCGATTGTGCTTGCTATTGTCAAGCAGGCTATTGGTAACGTTCCCAAGTCTCTGAAGAATCTTCACACAGTACTCTGATTAAGTAGAGAACTTTGAGCACATTGAGAAATACGGGGCGTTTGGAGGTATTGGTGGCAGCAGCTCATGCGGAGAAATCGGAGGACCCCCAAGAGCAGTGTCTGCCAAGGCGCTAGTGTAATTCCGGTTTCCTGGTTAGGCATCTATCTCAACCTCTCGAAACGACTATAACGTTAGTCACAAGAGATGAGCATTCCCACGAAAGGAGCGCTGCGGAGCCGGAGAAGCCATTGTATCTTTTAATATGGAGGCTGGAGTCATTGGACTCATCTGTATCTATTGTGGCAGCATCAGGCACCGCAGCCTTCACCGGTCTGAAAGCCGCCCTCAGCACTTTTAGAAGCTTTCTGTCCATACGATTAAGATCCAGATAGTGGATACGTTTTCGTGCATCTACTATCTCAGGGTCTTAGCCTGGATATTCCACAGGGGAACACAATGAGAAGGTATTTATGCTTCTATAACTTTCGACTTGATCGAGAATGCCTGAACTGGGGCTTACACATTCCCCGAATAAGCAGCATCAAGATGAGGGTCCTTCAAACAATGCAGACTCGGCGTCTCAGAAGGTGGGGACTGTATTATCAGTTCAGGATAGTCCTCTATCCAGCATCCCCAGAGGAACATCTTGGGAGGACGGCCAAGCGACGGAAGGCATAGATCAGGCGCACCCTCTCCCGGTATCACTTCCTGTCAATACTACAAATTCTCCAGTACTTAAGTCACTACAGGAACATAAGTCAAAAGGCCCCTCTGATCGTGCTGCTCGCACGTACATCCTAGGTTCAGACAAGTCAGTTGCTGAGGTCTTGTCATTAACTTCCGACCGTACCTCACCTAAACCATACTGTCGGTATCCTAGCTCATCGCAGACCCCACCCGCGAGCCACAATGTCTTGAGGTCCTCGTCTTCGTATTCGGGCGCTCAGTGGGATGGCCCAAAGGCTCAGGGTGGCGAGTTGCCTTGCGAATCATCATCACATGGGTTCATCCACAGCGGGGCCAATCGATGTGCTCGGAATGGAGCCGAAACTCTTCTTACGACGCCAGTGGAGCCCGGCGAAAGCGAAAATACTTCGCAAGGAAAAGACGGCTGGCTGTGCCGGCGCGAAATGCAGGTAATAGATAATAACGATTGTGGAAAATACGCAGTGGATGCTGAATATCTACTTCATGCGCAGCGTTCGAAGAAACCGCCACAAGAAGCTGCAGAACCAGAATATCCAAGCGAAGAGCTCATTCACAGTGCCAGCGTAGATCACCCGCCATCAGCACCAAAGCCAGAAGACCAGATCAAGGCACGAGCACCTTACCCACCCGGAACAGCCACCCACCAGTCGAAGCACCAATCCAACACTATTCCCACTCCGGACGATCGAGGTATCCACGCTGCAGGAAATGGATATCTCCACACCAATACTAACGAGCCCACCCGCCCACACACCCCAGAAGTAGTGGTGAGGACCGTTGCCTCGTCCAGACATAACAGCCGGTATCTGCCCTCATCCCCTCTCTTGAATCTTCTTCTTTCCCAAAATCCAACTCCACATTCTGAATATTCCGGCTTCTGGTATTTCTACTTGCCTTCCAACCCTACTTTACACGGACGACACAGCCATAACAACACCACTGCAACATACATTCAACATCCCATCATGAATACCCAATTTCACTGCAACCAGGAGGCCGCCATGAACTCATACTTCTATCCCCAAAATATAAGCAACCAGGCTCCTGCATACCTGGCCATGAACACATCGGCACACCTGGTGCCCGCCATGGACACCTCTCTCTACCCGCAACAATATCACACCAACTTCTCCAGCTTTCCCGCAATGCCCAATTCCGGTCACCAGGTGTCCGCCACGACTACGAACTTTCATCCTCAATATTTCAGTAATGCCACTTCCCAATATCCTGCTATGAGACCCTCCGCCTACCAGGCGCCCGTCATGCACCGATCTGTTGTACCTCCAAATTACAACACCCCACATTCTGGGTATCCTGGTGTGCCAAATTACAATAACCAGCTACCCGCCCAGCGTATGTTTCTGGGAATGCAAAACCCTGGATTATATCGCATGGTGCCTACCAATACTACGGCACCAGCAAACACTACTCGATACATCAATCCAGCTATCTTGTCTGTTTCACAGTCACCTTTCCACACATCACCGTCGCCGCCACAACCATCACCACTAGCCAACAAACCAACCGTCACAATTGACCTCACCGTTGATGATGATGCGGAGGGCGCTGGCCCTAAGAAAACGGTAGAGTCGGAATTGATCACTCTGCCTGCCACCACTACCAACACCACCGAAGCCGTCTCCACGAAACCAGCCACCCGCCCAAAACGCCCTTACTCCTGGATCGAATCCGGCAGCCTCCTCCCCGACATCCCCAACGCCAAGAAACTTAAGATGTCGGCCCAAGAGGTCAACCTCCGCCAGCAGTACGAGACCAGAGCCGCCAACTCGACCGCCAGGTTCTTCCTGGGTATCAAACCGGTGGCCCCTACTGCTGGTGGTGCTGCGGGTGTGCCAGCTGTGGATTGGGAGAAGGAGGTGGCCGCCCTGTCGACGGGTTCGTCGAGTAGCGTGAGAACTTCGCCGCCTAAAAGGAGGGCGAAGGTGGAGAAGAAGAAGAAGGGAAAGGATGAGGATGCGAAGAGGAAGGATATTGGAGAGGGTGCAAAGAGGAAGGTGGAGAAGGGCGGAAGAGGGGAGTTGAGGGGGAAATTCAGAGAGAGGAAGAAGGGAAATGAAGTGGAGGAGGTGGTCGAAGAGAGGACCGAGGAGGATGAAGAACAAGAGGATGAGGAAGGGGAGGACAAGGACTTGGTGGCTGCGATTGAAGCAGCGTTTGATGATGAGGAAGATGTGGATGAGGAGGGGGAGAACGACGAGTTGGCGGCTGCTATTGAAGCTGCATTCGAAGACGAGGAAGATGAGCAGGAGAATGACGACCTGGCCGCCCAGATAGAGGCTGCGTTTGAAGGAGACGAGGAGGAGGAACAAGGGTCGCGGACGGTCACGGATGGGGATGCGGAACTCAAGGCTGCTCTGGAAGATCCGTACTTGGTGCCGGTGGTGAAAGAGCAGGAAGAGTGGGGAGAATTAGTTATTGATGAAAACCCGTTAGCACCGGGTGAAATGCCAAAACCGTGAAACCAAAGCTTTCTGATTCCAATTTCTGTGATGCTTGTGCGATGCTCCAAGAGGGGTGATGCCCTGCGGAGCCCGAGCTCTAGTAACTACCTAGTAGTAGGTGGATCCATACTCCAGGACGAACAAGAGTGTTTGATGTACAGCTGGCGTCCGCCAAGAGGCACTGGAGGCCAAAGGGTCATGTCTAGAACATCTGCACTCGCTATGTATTTACTCAGTCTATGTCATCGAGCTGCCAAAGCCGTTGGACACCAAAATATGAGTCCGCCAAGCGCTTGCTATGCTTCGGTGATTGTGTACAAACCAAAGAGACCCGGTTCTACAACCAGCTCACCGAGCTCTATTCACAACGCCATGGCCGGGGCATCCGTCCCATGCTTGTAAACTGAAATTCAAGCTCCAATCCTTCTATTTTTCCATCCAAATCTCCTAATTGCACCATCTCTTGCTGTATCCTTCCTCGGCTTCTCTGTTACAGCCTTGCCGCTGCTTGATAACCGACCTTCTTGAATCGCCTTCTTCTTGCCACTACAGCAACAAACACCACAACATGTTCCTGTCTGAAACAAGAAGCCAAGGAGATTGAAACCGGAAGCAATCCACATGAATGCTAGCATTGGTGTCCCCAATTCGGCGCTGATATTCAGCTCTGGGGCAGACTCGAAGACATTACGAAAGATGGTGAACATGACGGTAGCCACCGCGCTGGCGCCAGCAGTAAGGATTAATGTGACAAGCGTGAAGAGCATGAGTGGGATCTCGCGGAAGAAGATCCTTCGTCCACGGTGTGACCATCGAGGTTTACTGCTGAAGCCGAGTGGAGCAAGGAAGATGGCAAGGAATGTTAATACAGTGCCAGCTAAGAAGCAGCCGAACATCCAATGACTCGCCGTTTGGACAATGCCCAGTGCATCTGTGACACCGCCAGGTAGCGCAATCGTTGCACCTGCCAACAACTCGTCGACTAGAATCTCCACCGGGTTGAACCAATAAAACCTCTGGTGAGGGCTACAATAGGTGATCCCCACGTCGTCGTATCCTTCACAAAAATTCCACAGGCCGACTTGGTAGAAGTCATGAAGGCCGATTGAGCGGGCGAGTGAGTTGATAAGGACGGCATTAGGAACGGAGCGAGGAATAATGTTAGAGAGGTCGATTTTGAGGAAGTAGGTGCTACGGAGCACGGGGCGGGAATTGAGGTTGCCGATGCAGACCAAGATCAGAAAGACGAGGGCGAGAAGGTGGCAGACGGAGGTAAAGATGCGGAGGAGTACGTGAGATTTTTTGGATTTGGTGGAAGTTGGGGAGTCATCTGAGTCCGGGGATGTGGAGGCTTTCCGTCTATCAAAGACAGCCATTGAAAGGATTGAGCCTTACTGGTGGCTGCGATGGAGTAGCCTCTTGCTCAGGCAACCGGAGAAGGTGCTTCCGCGGACAAAAGAGACACAGGATAGTAGCGAAACGAATGAATTACCTGAAGTTCTACTACATACTGGTAGTAGAATAGCAGTCTGTAGAACATTACAAGCAGATCTCCGCACAGTTGGGAAACAATTGAAGAAGCAACATCATCGCCAAGCTTCAGCCCGTGAATCCAAGGGTACGTACTAGGTAGTAGGCAGTTGCTGCTAGACTGAATGACGGTAGCCAATGCATCAAACATCTCCTCGTGTCCACGTGTCCTCGACCGCAAGGTCCGATCGAAATGCCAGGTTTTGAAAGAAGTGTCAGTACTCCGTAATTTGCTGGAAACATGTGCGCCGGCGCCTTTCGCTGCAGTCTCATGTACATGCATTTTTCCAACTGTGAGGCAGGATAGGCCGAGCATTTCCTTCCATATTGCGTCGAGGGATGATGTCACAGCTGTCGGCTAGTCACTGCCGCCATACTTGATTGGGATCAGACCACAGGAGAGTCTTGGACTTCACCAGGTATGTTCAAATACTACTACTAGCAGTAGCATTGTGATACGCCCAGACGTATCCTTTCTTATGCAGTCTCCTAGCAGCCAGATTCCATACTTGTAAATAAATTGGCTAATGGATGCCCTGTTGCTCTGTTCTGCTGCTCTTTCTAACCGTCATGAAGCCTAGTCGGTAGAGAAGTACCATGGCACTGCAAGACACGCGGTCAGGCCGCTTATGACACCACACCATGCCGAAACCTGAATGGATCTAGTACGGGTGATCGGCGGTGGACTATGCATGTCATTCTACTACGTAGTATGTAACAATCTTTCAACGATGTTTTTCTTGCAGCACGCTGTTTCCGCACAATCTCATCTTCGCAGCGTCCTCGAGGGTGTGTATGTTCACAGTCAACTAGAAGTGAGCTGTTAAACATGGACTGGCTCGAACCTTCCTAGGCACAGCACAAAGGGGAGCTTTCGAAGAGAATTGGGGTTTCGCATTGCAGATCAATTGCCCCATCTCCCGGTCTTCAAGATGCGACTCTTAGGTTTCGTATCCTTAGCATACCTCTTCACCATTACGGTTTCGGCCCAGGATACAGTTACAGCCACCAATGATGCAGCAGTCTCAAACCCACCGGGCGACGCTCCTCCATCCTCTCTCATTTCATATCAAGAGTATGAAACAACGAGGACCATCGACACCGTAAATACGAGCACATATGGAAGCATAAGTGCTCCGAGCACTTCGATGGGTGCAGCCAATGCAACAGGAACCATCTCCTCCCAATCAAGCAGTTCGACCTCCACTGTACTTCTGCTGGGCGGTCAAAGAACTACATCTACCATCAATGGCACAGTGTCGGCAAATGCTACAGCTTCCCAGACTTCTTCTATCGCTCAACCCACGAACACGACACCCTGCAATGGCCATCCATCTTTCTGTGCCCGGAAGTATAGCAACATTACCTACATCGCAGCCCATAATAGCCCTTTCTCGCGACCTGGCAACGCAGCTTCCAATCAAGCTCTAGACGTCGGGTATCAATTAGAGGACGGTATCCGCATGCTGCAATTCCAAACCCACTGGAACGAAACAGAACAGGCAATCTACCTCTGCCACACCTCCTGCGACGTCCTCGACGTCGGTACCCTAGAATCCTTCCTCACACGTGTAACCCGCTGGCTCCAACGCAATCCCTACGACATCATAACAATCTTAATGGGCAATTCCGACGTCATCACCCCGGACAAATATGTCGCCCCGGTCACCTCCTCCGGCTTGATAGACTACGTCTACACCCCTCCCAAAGTCCCGATGGCCGTCGAAGACTGGCCCACTCTGCAAGAAATGATATTCGCCAATACCCGCGCAGTAGTAATGCTAGACTACGAAGCCAACCAACAAGAGATCCCTTGGCTCCTCGACGAATTTGGCCAAATGTTCGAGACGCCCTTCTCTCCCACAAACCGCGATTTCCCATGTATAGCGGACCGGCCGCCCGCGGAATGGCCTGGCGCATTACCGCGAGAGAACAGGATGTACATAGCCAACCATAATCTGAACGTCGATATCTCCTTTGGTGGCATCAGCCTCCTCGTCCCTAATACCGTGATACTGAACGAGACCAACGCCGCGGCGGACATCTATGGCAGCCTGAAGAGGAATTCGTTGAATTGTACGAGCTTGTGGGATCGGCCGCCGAATTTTCTGCTCGTGGACTATTATAATGTCGGGGATTTCAATGGATCCGTGTTTCAGGTCGCGGCGGATGCGAATGGCGTGAGCTATGACCGCGACAGGTGTTGTGCGACACCGTCTAAGAATACTACGGGGAGGAGTAGAGGTGGTGGCTTGGAGGTGCTTTGGGCATTCAGCGCTTTTGCTGTTACCATGGTTGTTTTGGGTACATAGAACGCCCAGTTCAGTATATAGGATGTCAGGCATAGCAGAGGAGTTCTGGGATTTTGTATTTCGCATGAGAAGGTATTGATTAAAACAGCGTATGTTGTTTGCTTGGATGAATTCTGATTTTAACAGGACATATTAGTACATGCATATGGTATACTACAACACAGCACACGCGAAGCTGCTTTGACAGATCAAGGCTATTTCCCGGGTACATCAAGCCAACTGACAAGTACCCTTGTTCACTCGCAAAGCACGGTTCCTTACTAGGAGTTACCGTCTCGACCTTATTTCAGAACTAAGAAGAGACGCTCAAAGCCTGCCAGAGCTATGTCCCGCTACCTGCCTTCGTCTGTTGCGTCGTTAGTGGGAGGTCCCTAATAACGGATACCATCGAAGATTTCCTCTTTGACCTCAGATGAACCGCCCCAAAAAATCTTCTGCCGGCCTGTTGAAGTTCTCGCATCATAAGCAAGACCAGATGGACAGGAGCATCTCGTGACCCCCGGATCACATGTGGTTGCGGAATGACGTAATCATGGCTCTTGCTGGGTTTCAATTACTTCTCAGAAAAACATCAAAAAGATGAATTTGATCTGGAAATTCCTCATTCGTCTTATAAACCGCACCTGACCTACCCTTCCAAGTCTCGAGACTTGTATTGAAAATAGACAAAATGTCGCACAAAACCTACCACAACGACCTCTTCTGCAGGGGTCGAGATTGCCGTTCGTAATTATCATTTCTTCGTAATTCGCGATTTTAGCCGTCAAATCTCGAATAACTTACCATGCAAGTACTTGTACTCGTCCTAATACGGAAAGCCTTGATCGAAGTTAGGAAATGGCGGGCTTTGTGACTGCAGACAAGCTGGCGGTACTATACCAAAGTCGAATATAGCCCCCAAAAAGTTTACCAAATTAGCACTTTAACGCTAACAACGCTTGCGAATTCGTGCGCTTCTAGACGTGTATTCATTGTTATGAAGGCTAGTAGTCCCTGAGCGTACAGACAAGCTACTTGTTGTTTATTCAAATGAATTGACGACTTTTCAAAAGAGGCGCTCTAGGGTCAAATGCACAAAATAAGGAGTCCGCCAAGAAGATCGAAATTGAAATCCCACTTCTGCCCTAGCTGTGAGCTATCTTCCTAGCCGTAAGGACATCGTCAGGAGTCGAAAATTTCGGTTAATTTACGTCCTACGAAGTGTACATCACAAACGTACGAAAACGTACCACAATCCCTGCTCTTCAGCCAATACGGGCTCGAAATTTGGGGGCGATATCAGATCCCTCGCGTCAGGTATCCACGGCGCATGCAAGGCGATCCGTGGTACGGTCAACTAAGCGGTTGATAGTACTCCGTACATTTCATGATAAAGCAGGAGAAGCCAAGATTCGCAATGTTGCGTTGGCAGGGATTGCGGCGGTGAAGGCGGGGGATCAGAAGTTGGGGGTGCGGCATGGTGTTAAGGGGGGGTTCTGGTGTGGATGAAGGGAATGCGGGTACAAGGGGCACGTCGGCGGTAAACCCTGGCGGAGAGCATGCCGTCGATGGCAGCAAAGCGATGAACTTATAAAGAAATGTGTGGGCTTACCTACTCTCTCCGTACTTACTTGCTAGACCTTGGTAAAGATAAGGTAAGGCGGCGTGCCAGAGATGGTGGTATAAACCTTGAAGCATATTTTGTGGGCTTTGGAGTAAGTGAGAAGCATGAAGGGGGCTCACACTGGTCTACCGGCTCATTGGCACATAATTTCTCCCGTGCTCGGAACACTGTCGTTAGTACTGCAGGAGGAATTTATCTTGATAGCTTACCATTTATGTTGCAGCGTCACTTGTATTGCAAGCCACCAAAAAGATCCTCAAACCATATCTGTTGCTCCACAGGACTGAATTTTGGTCCAATGTGTGCGGTGCGTCACAACCTCTATTTCTCTACCTCCATATCTCCACGTGAATGGAGTGCCCAAGCCATGGGCACAACCAAGCTGAGCTGCCTTGACAGCTTCTAAACAGGTGTGCCTGAGAATCTGATCTTGCAGCTCGGGGCCGAGTTGCTGAAGTCGTGTGCGCGATGATCTGGAGTAGTGGGTAACCATAAGCAGCAGCTCGATTGCTTCATCAGAAGCTGGATGGACACCATCAAACAAAATTCGCCACAGAAGCAGGGTGTCCATCAAATCGAGTCAAATCTCAGTAAGCAATATATGTCTCGGGATTTACTTGTGTCAGATAGGTAGAAGAAATGACCCTGTCCTCTTACAAAAATGCGCAGGGCGCACAGAAATAAGTACAAATTGCAGAGAAATTAGCCGCGAGATTACAGCGACAATGGCCAATCAAAAGCAGGCAAAACGCCAGGGTAATACGTAGCAATAGCGTCTGACAACTTGAAACCTCGTCCAGATCGAGGGTCCGCCAAGACTATTTACCATTACCCGTTGCAAAAGTGTTTCGAATCCTTGGCGGAGCCCTCGAACTGCTGGTGCCGCGGGGCAGAATTGTGGTCAGATATAGGAATAGCTCCTTACGTACAAAAAACGTATGAAAATTGCTTGAAATTACTTATAGACCTTGTTGGCCTCTGTATCTTGTTTTATCCTACTGGCTAGCTCTTAGTGTTAAGCTCGTAACAAGTAAATTATGCGTTTTGAAATAGTCTTATAACCTGTTATAAACTAAATATCTGTTGAACTCAAAAATACGGTCTGCGCTTATTTTGCTACGTGTGTCACCAGCGTTTTGTTACAGAATTGATACGCGTTTTGCATCAGCCACGCATGTATTTTGGTATCTGCGTTTCGCGCTACTGCGCTTGATATAACGACTTTGTATGTATAAGTGGGCGCTGCTTTCGCACTGAATTAGGTAGAACAACTTGCTATTTACACACTGATCCGTCGATTAGTCAGCACAGTTCATCAATAAGTCTATATTTACGTGAGATTCCACAGCTCAGGCCTTGACAATGATCGCCTGACGTCGGGATTGACTTCGTTCAGATCGGCTCTGGTGATGAATGGACCAGGTTCACTTGCTCATGGGTCAAGCTTGCATGTCTAGACGCCTTGTTAGACAGACGTAAAGTCTGGGCCCTCCAGCTCTCTACAGAATTCTACATCGGATCCCACAAATGAAAAAGGCCAGCACAGAATCGAAAAATTGTCCTAAGCCAGATGGAAGACCCAGTAGGTAGATGGGGGCTAACATATACTGCTCCTTCGGCAGTGGACTTTATCAAGCACTCTAGTGTCTTAAAGGGAGCAATTCGCCGAGTCAAAGGGCGGAACGCCTATGTTATCTCGGGTCTGTTTGATGTCACTACCTTTCTCGTTTATCTTTTCTGGGGAGAAAACCGTCGAAGCTACTTCATGGAAGTGAAAACTTGTTGCTTGTGGATAATGACCTACTCCTGAAATGAGCTGAGCTGTGCGAGAACAGATCTTGTACGTATGGTATTTCAGACTCTAGCCCACATTAGACCTCTAATATGATTGTTCAAGTTGGAGTGGAGGATTCTTCCGGGATACCGTAAACTCAAGAAGGCAGGAAAGGGAACTTTATCCATAAGAAGGCTGATCATCCGGCCCGCACATTTAAGCTTACAGCACTTTGCAGCTACAGTACTACACCAAAAGTATTGGGACACCCCGCATTTTTACCCCATCAACATTTTCCACTCTTCCCATACAAATTACTACTGTACGCCCGGTATTTATTGAAATCCTATAAGAATCAATTAAATGGTGCGCCAAAATCTGCTCTTTCGAATAGTACTAATTTCCTAAATAGGCAGCTAGATATCAGAAGCGGGTATACCATCCTTTGGCCCTAATCACTGCATTTATAC